GTGTGTCAGCCAGAAGAGCATGACTGATTGAACGCCGAATTAGGGCTAAGGTCGCCTACTCGCGGCATGTTAGAATTATTGGACACCACTGTACGACCAGAGGCAAACGCAACGGGTGTCTTGTTTTCCCTTTGGCCGGCTGCGCTATACGCTGGACGAGCTTGAGTGGTAAAGACGCAGCTATACATCCAGGCGAAACAGGCGTGTTCCAGAGGTTGCAGATGTATGATTGGTATGGATAGATGCTATGAGCGACGCTCCTAACAAGGTCGCTGACATGGTTTTGTCATTACAATAGGACCAGTGCAAAGCTATTAATGGGCATAATAGTTTTAGTAATACAGTCCTAATTAATCGTATATTACAAACGTAGATAGAATATATTTGTTTGTGTGGGTATTTTTGAATGAGCCATGACACAGATATGTGTGCGCACGGGTATTTAAGAAGAAAACTTTCCTCCGAGCAAACAAAGCCCTGGGCCCAACGTGCTGGACATTGAAGAGCAACGGGCGATTCATTCGGGGAAGCGAAACTTCGGGGTTGTTTAAGCTAGACACATATGATGACCAACCAGACGAAGAAGTGCGGGAGCAATTCCGCACAGGTAAGCGATGAAGAGTCGACCCGATGATTTCGGGGAGCACTCGATCATTGGGGGTTTATTTATCTAATACAACTCAAATTTACACAATGCACTAAGTCACAAATACAAAACATGGAAAATGATGGCATAACCCTCAGCTTGCATGACTGGTCTCCGGTGGTGAGATGCGCTGTTGACCCCCGAGTCCGCTCACCCCAAAAAGGGCACTAGTCGCTGCTTAAATAGGGTTTTCCAGCATCCACGGGTGTGCGGACCAATCAGGCAAGCCGATGATAACCAATCTCAACACGAGTTTTCATGGTCGTGTGAAGCCTGCCTCACAACAAAACTTTAGCAGCTTTTCGAAACGAGCACATTCTTTAAAACGGCCTTGACGCGCAAACAAGTGCTCAAATGTCGCTTCCCGATTGCCCCGGAGGACGCAAGCGGCGGCTCACTCGTTTTGGGTGGTTTTGGTAGTGGTTAGAAGAGGAGAAAGGCACCTAATTTCTGCAGCCTGGTCGGAAGCACGGCGTGGTGCCTGGTTTGGCGCGAAGCGCACAGTATCGAGCGACTTCCCAAAAAAATAAAAAGTGACCAACCGCATGCAGCTTTTACTGTTCAGACTCTCATTCTTCGTCGAGGCGGCCTCCTCGAGAAAAGTCGTTAAGTAGCTCCTCTAACAAGAGCATCTGGCAAAGAACGAACTCCAGCTGTTGCTGAAAAATAAAAACCTTTCCGCGAGACATTGCCTTCGCGACAATAGGGAGCATTCTTGAGGCGCGTGAACTGACACAGCCGTCACCACGAAGCGCGAAAGGATCCAAGACTCCGACGAAGTGTGGCATGCGCCAAGTCATGCTACCGCCCTGAAAACTCGGCAGCAGCGTGGCCTTGGTAGTTTCGGGACGACAACAGAAATGTGATAACCATATTTTGAAAAAAAAAAGAATATATGGCAGATACGCATACGCCTTTGCCACGAGACAGATGCCGAAGGACAGGAAGTGACGAGGTGGTTGAACGAATGGAACGTCCGCTTGGCTGCCCTATAACGGACCCACGTGACTATAGATGGAGGTTGATGAAGGGGCAGAAAACACGAGAAAATGACGGTCATGCAGAAAAGATTTTTCTGCCATTTGCGTTCTCACCTTACGATATTTGATTACTAGTACTGCCTTACCTTGATACGGTCCATGACTTGGAAGCTTTTAATTCACTCTGCGAGGAGCCTCGCTAGATGTCTTTAGTCGACCGTGCTCACAGAGCTGCTATATTGGAGCAGCCTGGCTTAGAGTGCGACACTCATTGCCACGAGTTTTGCGAATCGCGGGTAAAGCGGGCGCTATGTACCACGTGTTTCAGCGTAGCAGCGAACCACGTTGCGGTTCGCACGATAGCTGTCTTCTCGGCCATTGAGCAGGCTTGCGTGGCCCACCGTGGCTCAGACGCAGGCTGACGGCTTCGCTGTTGGAACCAGACCACTGAGCAATATCATTGCCTCAGCGACGTGCTCCATCCCGTGATACCTCTTTTTAGCGCACCTCGGTTCGTGCCTGGTGCTGTGTCCATGCCGTATACTCTGTGAGCTCCACCGAGCTTTCTTTTCTGGACACACGTTCACTGTAGTGCCCGTAGCGTGGGGTATTTTTCTATTTGTCATGTTCCTTAATCATTGATATTGTTCCTCTTCTGTATATAGTGACATGAACGTATAGTGCGAGTTTTTTCACAGGTGGTAATATCTGTTCTTACGTCTTTTTCGTCCTTGAGTGGCATGTATACAAGTGTGAGGATTGTTGTTGTCGTCTTCTTGACCGTGTTCAGTAAAGAAGTAGGTAAATGTGTTTTCTGCGGGAAAGCCAACGATTCGACGAATCATGGTAGAAATGTACTTGAACCTGACCACCACAGGGGCGTAGCCAGGGGGTGGCACACCAGGCACGTGTCCCCCCCCCCCCCTTCGAAATGTTTTCGCCATAACATAGAAAGAGAAAACGGCCATTTCAACGGGGTGCCCCTCCCGCATTTTCGTCGAGCTTGATGAGTGTGAAATTGGAAATATTGTACGCCAAGGAATTTCCGGGCATTTTCGTTACTGGCGTTTCACACACCTATTGGATGTTCGTTTCGCTGCAGGTAAATTACAAACTCTTCTGTCGAGCTCTGAGGCGCATCATCATGAATACATGCATGAAGTTGCGTGCATTCTGCATAGAATAATATTTCTTAAACATTAACTAAAATTGGTCACATTAAAACCCAGTCTGAACGCGGAGGCAGTCATAAAATATTGGCTGTTCACATTTGACAAAACAAAATGACGCATTTCATTACCAGTTGTTGCTTGTACGCTAGACAAAGCTTGATAAGTAGAAAAAAACCATGGATGAACCACCACCAAGCTTGGACATGATTCCAAATGTCTACGCATCCACGCGATAATAATTGGTAATGTCGAAATTTCTAAGAGCTCTAGAAATAATGGACGCTGCTTGCTGGTCACGCGGTCGTCATCAGCAGCACAAATTACTCGATGGATGGATGACAGGATTTGTTTTAACCGTGATAATAACAACACCTGCGTCTCTATTGCATTATAACATTCTATTTTTTTTCTCTCTGAGACTTTACTTTAATGGGGCTGCTATTTCTTTCTTGTCCTGCATCACAAATCTATCCTAAATCCGCTTCTGTCTATTTCCTTCTTTCCAGGGATACTCTAAGCCTCTATTGATCATCTGTAGTGTGAACCAGTTCACAGCTTGTTCAGCTATGAATACCAGCGCCTCTGTAAGATGGACAACGTTCTCTTTTTTGTCTTGCTGGCTGAATACCCTGGAATTCGGTTGCCATGTCCTGAGTGGTTCATAGGCATCTTTTGTTACTACTACTACTACTACTACTACTACTACTACTACTACTACTACTACTACTACTACTACTACTACTACTACTACTACCACTACAACCACCCACACCACCACTGCTACTACTAATGATACTACTACTACTAATATTATAATAATTTAATCATACAATCCCAAGAATACACTGTAAATGGACGGAATAAAATAAGCAACCCCTCCCCCTTATTACACCAGGCGCAGGTAGTGGGGCAACAGAACGAATAGTAGAACGGTAGCAATACTTGTTACACGGAATCTAAGAATAAGCATGAATAGGAGCAATTATAAATGAAAAGTGCTGGTTGTATAGACTTTCGAAATACCAAGAGACATAGATAGCCATGTGTACTAACACGTTGTGTACAAATCATTGCAAAGGTTTGTACTATATTACAAATGTTATGAATATTTGCTCCAGTGTGTTATCGTTGTACGACAGCTGCAGCATGGTTCTGAAATAACAAACTACAGCCCATTATTTCGTATCAGTGAATCTCCATGGTCTTTAATTTTCATTCCAGTCTGCCTCTCTGTTTATGTCGCTCTGTTTACGATTACTTTTGACTTAACTTACATTATCTTGCAGAGTTGCCATCTTTATCGACTTTTCTCGGCATTCAGTGTCCATGCTTCTGAGATAGAGTTTAGCCAGCTTTGGTTTCTAATATATTTTTCGTTACTAATTTTTCCACACTCTTGTCTAACTGCAGGATGAGCCCAGTCTATGCCGAGCTGAACTTATCATTCTGTGTATTTTTCGGGAGCTTGCCGATCGTACAATTCTCTGCGCACGCACGCGATATGGTACGTTCTGAATGCGTTCTCACCAATATCGAATAATCACTGATATCGAAGGTTACCAAATACCAGCAAATAAGTCATGGTGCCCCCCCCCCCCCTTCTGGGCGACCTTAGGCGGGCAATCTAATAAGTCGACTAACTCACACTGAGACCTGTGAATCTGAGTATGATTGTGTCCGGGCAAGTAATACTTTGGCAAGCATATATGAGTCCGGTTGACGAAAATTTCGACGAGTGTAATGCCAGCTAGTCCGGTTGAGGAAGCTTGTGGTGAGTCTGACTTCGAGTCAACCCTAAATGCAAAATATATTTCTTGAGTGAGTAAACTCCACATTTCTCGCTGTCCTCTTACACGCGTACGACAGCGTTGATCTTGAGTAGTGAGGAGTATAGTGGATGAAATGAACTAATACTTTTCATAGTATTTTTCTTCTGAACTTCTGTAAGTGTGCATTGGAGTCTAAATTCGCGAGCACACTTGCCTTTCACCCACTCAGAACGAATTGTGCAGCCATTATCAACAGTCGAACTCTCAACCTCATGCATAGCCACGAAGCGTCACAGTTACGGAAGCGTCGTGTTTTGTATCAGATGTGAATGAAGGTTGCTTGTTCACTATCATTACCCTTGCGACGAGACGATAAAAAGGACTGAAATATTTAATCGAGGAAAATCGCGCAGTTCAGTTAACTTGCAGCAGTTTACAGATAGATCACGACGTTATGGTAATGGTGGTCGTGATGATGGTGGCTTCCGTGACAGACGAGCTGGCAGAACCGACCCTCGTCAGCGCCATCACTGCAGTCTCTCACTCCGTCGCACACTTGAACCGGAAGCAGGCACCCACCGTCGAGGCACGGAAAGTCACCATTTTCGACGTTGCAGAAGCGAGGTCTCGTCCTGGTCGTGCCGGCGGCTTCGTCCATGACGACGTCCTGCGACGGCGTTGTCAATGTCGACTCCATCGTCGCACCTGCAGTGCTGGACGACAACAGCGCGTTTCTCTTTTCAGCACAATCCTTCTCGTCAGAGCCATCCTCGCAGTCGTGACGTCCGTCGCAGACCCACCAAGGAGGCATGCAGCGGGTGCGGTTGTCGCAGGTGAAACGGTGCTTGAAGCAATAGTCCCCGTAGACAACACACTCGTCTTCGTCTTCGTTATTGCCGCAGTCGTCCTTCCTATCGCATAACGCGTCGTAAGCGACGCACACGCCGTTACTGCACGTGAACTCTTCACAGTCGCAGGCCGCCTCGGATAGCGAGCAAAGGAACACGATCGCCGCCAGTAGAACGGGCACAAGGGCGGAGCGAATCTCCATCTCTCTGGCCGAACTGCCTGATTTGAATGAGACCGCAAACTCGACTAGTTCGAGCGCACCGTGTGGACGAGCTGTGAACTTTCAGGAGTCAGCCTTGTTTAACACTAAAGTGCGATTGCAGTTTTTTTTTTTTCGCGTAAAACAGCGCACGTTCATTGAGCACACACAGCGACACAGCTGTCGTCTTGAAGCGGGAGTAGAGTTATTCTAGTCTGAAGCGAGAGTAGAGATAATTCAGTAAGACGGCGGAAGTTAGTGTGGCGACACTCTCGGCGCTTGTATATTCCGGTGTGGCCGTCGCCTCGCTATCTCTAGCTGGCGTAATGGGGATGCAAGCCATCCTGCATTGCGATACGACACCGCAACGGTACGCATAACTGGTGGTGGCTACAAAAGAAGGCTGCTCAGCTGGGAAAAGTATTAATGGCTCCGCTACCTGCACGCGCGCGTAGCATTGGTTTGCTCGTCAGCAGTTGCTGGTAGTGTTCGAACGCAGTGATTTCGGCTAGCTGGTGAAAGTAGACCTGAGCAGAAGAACAAACAGTAAAGAGACGCGGACACTGGACGGACGTTCAAGCCCTATCCAGTGTCCACCCTATCTACGCGTCTCTTTCTTTTATGTTTGTTCTACTGCATTTTCTAAGACGCAAGATTTCTGCTGGTAATGTTTTGTGTTAGCACTCGGCCTTCGGCAAACTCCACATCCCTCAATGCAACGCGCGAGGATACGCTGTCACCATCGAACACCGCGATGTTACTATGCGTAGTCCTGAATGATTAGGGCACCCCGAAGCCGATATTAATTTCACAGAAAGCGGTGAAGAGGCCTTTATCAGGAGGCAGGAGGGAGATAACGAAGAGCACCGGAAAAAGGTATCTCAGCCAGGGGAGGAATGCAGCGAACGGAGGTTAACAAATCCTCTTTGGTCAACTTTGCACCTAATGTGGAAACCTCTGCGCCAAGCTTTACTGAATTCCGAAAAAAAACAGACATTGATATGGCGGAGAAGTCTTTTTATTTATATCAAACGCAACGTTCATTACGCAAAATTTACTTGAGCTCAAATCAGAGTGTGTCTGGTACTTTGTGAAGCCAAACGGCGTAAAGAATGTGGTGCCAAGAAAAAGTTATAACGCCCACCTGGCAGAAATGGCTTGTTAGGATTGCTGCCTGATATGCTGTCCTATGCCCTATATCTACGGCTCCGTGTTTTCGGAGTATATTTTCCTGTGTGTTCAGAGGGTGTTTTTTCGGAGTTCCCCTTTTTGGAGTAAATTCGGCGTTTATCGGAGGTTACTTCATGTTAATTTCAAAAATCTCTGAAAGGCATTGTTTAATTTTGTAGTATTAGTTGTTCCAACGTCTTCTTATTAATATTATTAGCAATTGAAACGCGCAACGTTGTTGCCGACAATCCCGTATTTCCATCGCGTCAATACTCCAAAATCTTCTAATAGTTGATATCTGAACACGGAGACATGTTAACCAGTGTTGCGGAGTTGCCACTCCAGAATTGGAACGACTCCGGAATCATTCCACATTTCCGCAACGTTGGAAAGGAACGGGCACAACGCTTGGAGGAATAGAATGGGAATGGAAGTAGGCACCTTTTGCCCGTAATGGAATTAAAACGGAATCACGTCTTTTTTCCGAAAATAGGGCACGATTTTCGTCTACGTGCTGTTTTTTTTTTTAACTTCAAACATGAGCTGGTCAGGAGATGGGTACGTATGGAGAATAGAAGGCGAAGTGATGTAGTTTATACCTATATTCCCCGCTCGGGTTAAAATAAGACGAACGGCGGCGCGCCGCAATTATTGCGCGGCGGCGGCGGCGTGGTCTCTCTCGGAACTTCGGCGGCGGCGCCAATGGCATGAGCAAAAAAAAAAAAAAAAGGGTGATGGCGACGTCCTGGTGGGGCGGCGCACAGCTCTGTGCATTAGTACACGATTACTGAACGAGAAACTGTATGTGGTATGTACCCTAACCTCCCTTTCCCACTCACCTGCTGCTGTACTATACGACGCTCTGCTAACGTGCTTGGATAACCGAGCAGTCAGGACACTCCCCTTCGGATCCCGGATATCGAAAGACACATTTTTCGACATTAATTGACCTTCTTCGTCTTTCTATCTATCTCCCTTTTTTTTCTCTCTCTCTTTACTCGTTCTCTCGGCAATTGGAGTTACGGCGTTCCCCATCGGACGAATCGGCGCAGGTGTTCTGGAAGCGAAGCAGAAGACGAAGAGGACGACAAAGAGAGCGTGGGCTGGTTCACGATGGCGATTTCTGTTCAACAGCTCCAAAAAGAAAAAAAAAGGATGGGGGGGGGGGAGTCACAAGCGCTCCCAAGTGACTCAGCCTGCCGACATAACTATCAACTTCAACGCATGTTAACACTTTACGTGAAAAAAAAGGACAGTAAAAATCAAGTTTATAGTCAGCGATGTCTTCTGCAGGTGCATTGAAAGTTGGTGAACCAAATAGCCCTTGCACACCACGTTCGTCGAGTGCAGTCAGCCTTGGGCGCGTTTGTGAGGCAACAGGTCGAGGGCAAAGTGCGGCGCTCGACTCGAAAATAGCAGCACGTTGACGCGGACTGCGCAGGAGAAGCACGCGCCTTTCCGAGCAAACACAACATGCGTGCGTGTAAACAACCATAAAGCTGCCACGCTCTCGTCTAGCACACCGGGAGGCACGTCCGGAGGGACGGCTGATAACACGCTCCGGCATGCCCGGAGACATCGAGCGGCCCACCCTACTCGGTCACACGACCAACAGCGTCGCATGTGGTCGTGGAGATCGGCACGCAAGCCGCCTTGTTCGGAAAATACCCCAGTGGCGGCGCCGGTGAAGACGTGCCTGCTTCCACGAACACTGTCGCGAATCGGTGCAGACTAATTTGCGCAGTCCCGAAAACTTTTGCAGCGTAAGGACGTTGGTCACGCATTTCGATTGGTTCAGTGATCGGCTAAGTAACTTATTGATAGGTCGACTGGTGGGAGAAAAAGTCCCACCGGCCGTTATGACGACTGGAATGCGAAAACAATCGTCATCTTTTTCTCTTTCTTTTTGATCTCAGTTTATTGTATTGATACACCTCAAACTTTCCACTGAAAGCTTGCTTTTGCATAACCTCCGCGATCAGCCTTTCTTTGACCAAGCGACGATGTCGTGTGATGACGTCATCAAGTGATGTCATCGGGACGTTAAGATCCTTGCGATTTCTGGGGTTGTCACCCCATGGCGGGGTCACGTCATTGAAAAGGTCATGCTGAGTGAAGGTCATGGGAATTTGGTACTCCAACTCGACAAAATTATGCACTTTAGTACCACATGACTGCTGATCAGCGTGCATTACTTTTTTTTCAACTGTATAATTGATGCTGACGCCACCTCTCATTGACTCATGAGTCAGTCCCTGACTCGTGACATATTGTTACGGAAGAGAAGAGACGCCGTATCGACGAGGTTGTGGATGAAACATAGGACCACGTAAAAAGTCTACGCAGACTGCTTAGAAGACAGCGCCGAGTCCATGCTGTCCGATAATTGGAACACGTCTGGACAGCTTTTACGTGACGATGCGCTACTGCGCGTCGAGAAGAGAAAGCTAAAATAAACAAACGCAACAGTTGTATATTCTGACTTATTTCATGTTTAAATAAAGAACAAATAAACGTTACTTACATTGAGCGTCTAGGGAAGCGTCTGCTTGTGTGCAGTCGACTATTCCGGCGAGATCCGATCTATCTGAGCGATTCGCTGAGCCGACATCTTTAGACAGCAAAGTAGCCTGCATCGTATTTGTCTACGATGCGGTCTTCTCTAAGCTGTCTATTTTGCCGGCTACGTGAGAATTGGAATGAGACTGAAGATGGCCGCCGTCCATTTAGCTGTCTACGGTGACCCATATTTCAAACCAGCAGCAGCGGCGTGAGCGGTTGAGCAGACACCGAGCGGAGACCACTCTTCGTCTTCTTCGTCAGGCACACAAGCGCATCGTCCCACAAAATGTCAACATGCATGCAGCATATATTGGACTTTTGCCTTAAATAATCCGGCGGCTGAAGGCAGTTAACTTGAGCGTCTTCCGTGATACCAGCTGCTACCTCGGATATCAACGGTGGCGTCTTACACGTTTGTTTCTCCGCATGCAGGAAGCGATAGACTGTCCGAATTTCTCTTCATATTGCAGGCATGGGAGTCCCGCGAAAAAAAATCGCAGCATATGCACGGAGTGAATGATGATGAGTGGTACGAAGCGGCCATCCGTCCATCCTCGCGTCTGTCTGTCTGTCTGTCTGTCTGTCTATCTATCTATCTATCTATCTATCTATCTATCTATCTATCTATCTATCTATCTATCTATCTATCTATCTATCTATCTAATCTATCTATCTATCTATCTATCTATCTATCTATCTATCTATCTATCTATCTATCTATCTATCTATCTATCTATCTATCTATCTATCTATCTATCTATCTATCTATCTATCTATCTATCTATCTATCTATCTATCTATCTATCTATCTATCTATCTGTCTGTCTGTCTGTCTGTCTGTCTGTCTGTCTGTCTGTCTGTCTGTCTGTCTGTCTGTCTGTCTGTCTGTCTGTCTGTCTGTCTGTCTGTCTGTCCATCCGTCCGTCTGTGGTTATGCCGGGCTGGCTACGACGCCGGATGGACGTGGGACTGACATAGGCCTCCCAACCAAAATATAAGTGCATCTAGTGTTCCTACGTTTCACTCCCGTGGAAATGTAGCTGGCGTATACGCGAATCGAACTCATGACTTCGATCCTAGCATCGCGACACCTCAACCTGTTAACTTATCGGTGGGTGTTGCTTGCAAGATCTGTGCGTATAAACGCTCAGCTCGAAGACGCAGCATAAATATGTTTACAATGAGCGGTGACGAGAAGTCTACAGCTATCAGCCGAATCAAACCCTTGCATTGCTCACGCTGTACGGTATTTTAGGAGTGGTGTATTAAGC